AAATCATATTCAAACATAACTATATATGTATATAGTTAGTTACTATATATGTAATCAGCATGTATCAGTATTAAACAGTACTTAATGAAATTAAAGATTTTAAACTTACATGTGATAGTAATTCTGGTCAGAGTAATCACAAATATATAGTCAAAAATTTTGAATGATTCATCAGTCTTTATATCATCCTTTGTTCCTCTTTAGTTATAATGCATGTAAAGAAATTTCTCTATGTAATTCTCAACTAGGTACTATTATCTAGTTGAGAATTGTCCTTTCTATAAAAGAAGCCAATATTTCAAAGTTCAAAACAATGTGCATTGAGAAGTATGAAAGTAAAGGATAATAAAGTGTAAAAATATGATTTTATATATGCTAAGTTTCAATACAGGAATAAATTTGCCTGAACAGGAATTTGCAAAATAAACTTGTGTTTATCATTGTAAAACATATCCTGATTACTGAAATATTTGAGTTTAAAATTTTGAATTTGTTTGTGCTAAATACATAAAATGAACTACTGTATTCTGGAATAATCTTCTCAATGAACACTAAGTTCCTCATTGGTGATTGTGAAGCCCCAGCCCATTGAGATACCAGACACTAAGGACCCACTGATCATCATCATCTTTGCCATCCAAGCCACTGAATGTTGACATTCACCGAACTATCAGCTGCCAGAAAACTAATGTGGATTATAATATCTATAGGGTTACCATATCTATAAATAGGGTTACCATATCTATCATGGTTTATTCTTTGTCATAGTTGACTTCATTGAAGTGTTGTGCAGCCCTCACAGACATGGAGGCTGCAATCTCTGTTATGTGTGATTGGACTGACAAGTGAAATGGAAGTTACTTAAAGTTCTTATTGCTGCATCAAACATTGGTAATTGACATTTCTCATTCGTTTTGAAAAAATGGATGAGAAATGTGCCTCATTAAAAAAGAAATAAGACATTAAAAAAGAATAACACAGAAGCAGAATGTATTAAGTGAAACATATGTTAAGAAAATTGATAAACATCCTGAAGCCTTAAATAGCATATTTTGTAGTATTACCTGCCTAGCTTGCAGTTGCAATTTTAAGTGGTACAATAGACTAAATCTTTTCTTTTGTATTTTTCTAAATTAATGACTAATTAAACTTAGAAAAATAAAGAAAAACAAAAATTTTATAAATACATACTATATAAAAATAGTTCAAGAAATACTGATACATTAAACAGTGGAATGTAATTTAATAAATTATTTCAAAAATCATGGAATTACTTAATTATTTTTGAATTTCAAACTTTAATTAATTGATTTTTAATTTATATAAATTAATGTTTTAAAGCATTCTTAATGATCTTCATTGATGGCCAGATGGTTTAGTAGTTAAGCTGTGAACTTACTGCTCTGAGGATCCAGGAACAAATCAACACACGTTGAAAAACCCTCGCAATTCTTCAGGGATGATCCTGTGCTGGATATGTTAGATTCCATTCCTCACCACTAGCTGTGCCATTGTGTGCATGACTTAACCCACAATGGACTTGATAGAAAGAGTATAAAAAAAAAAATAATCTTACATTAAAATGAAGAGTGATTGAAATCAAAAGTTGATAAGTTTGATTTTATATATATACNTCTTCATTAAGTACTTAGGTGTATTAAATTATAACATTTCAGACATTGTTATAAATATTTTTATATATTTCAATTTTTTAACCAAATGTTCAAACCTTTTTAAATTCGAATTTGTTATTGCATATTGGTTCGATTATAGAACGATTGTAAATGTTCCAGAAAATTAATCAAATTGAAAATTGTTTGTTTGATTCTCGGCAATTCTCATCATTCTCGGCGGTAGGTGTTATATAACAATTATTATGGTTGTTGAAATACTGAATATAAATGGGGTTTGCTTGCAAAACCTCTGCGGGCAAAGTCACGTGTAACAGCTAGTACAGTATATGTATGATATGCCAATTGATCATAAATGTCAAAAATAATAATGATGCTTAACAATAGTTAATAGTTTTCCTTAAATTTGGAACCATCATTTTTTTTTACTATTGTCAGGTTAATCTACTAAGTTTCCTAGAAAGAAAGAAAGAAATTCAGTTAGCTCACACTTTAGAAATTTATGATTACAGTTTACTTGACATAACATAAATCTGAACAACAAAATGCAGCAAAATTTTTGATAGATCTATCATCACTCTTTTCTACATACAGTACCTAATTAATTAATATTCATCATCGAGAATAGCAAAACATATTGCATACAAGTTCTGCTAAAAGCTACAGATTTATTTGTATTTTTTCTGAATATCTGATCCCATTTTTACTTTCCAAGCTGTTATATATAATAGAGGAAAAGTATGGCAATTGGTCAAAAAATGACTCCCAAGATTTTTACATTTTTGGATTCAAAAGACCTTCAAACATTGAGAAATGCAAAAAAAAAGTTGGGAGTTTTCTATGTATGGATGTTTTGTGCATGGGGCATAATTTTGTTCATTCACTTTAAAGCTTAATAACTCTTGTGCATTTTGTTGAAAATTTCTGAAATTTTGCAGGAAAGTTTGGGTATTAGGGGGATTGATACTATTAAATTTTGGTGGTTAAAGGTCAAGGGAGTGGGGAGCTAGAGGGGAGTAGTGTCATATCTTTAGTGGGATTGGACTTAATGAAGATTTTACTCCTTATTAGCATTTACAAGAGAATCTTTGCCTTTGCAAAAACTTGTAAATCAGGCCAACAACTAAGACCCATAGTTGATAAGGTCCATTCTCTAACAATCTGTTTAGAAAGAAAAATCCATCTCCTACTACAAGATTTTCTTAGAGGTTACCAATACACTGGCCAACCCTTTGGAGCTCACATCCAAGTTAAAACCAATTGAATTATCAAGTTCAGAGCACTAAGTGCTGGACTTCACATCATTGTATTCTTCAATAAAACTTGAACCATGTTTCTGTGCCCTAAGGGATGCCCTGTTCATTATAGGACAAGATACACACAAATACTATTAGCATATCCTGAACTTATTGCACTTACTATGTTACTCCTCCTTTTTTGCAACAATTTTATATACATACAAAAGTAGGGAGTTCCAATGAGAAACCCTTATCTGGGGATTTATATGAATTGAGTATAAATTTTGTCAAACAGCAAGCCTTAAGGGATTTCCTTCCATGCATATGATTGTATATGACGTATGTATATAACATTTTTATTATTTGGATGCTCTACTATAAGTACAGTATTTAACAACAACTATGGTTTAACCCTCACTTTAGATCAGTCCAGCAATGCAAAAGTCCATTGCATAGACCAGGAAATTGAGCTGATACATAAGAAAATTATAAGTGTCTACCAAAAGCCATTGAACAATTTGTTTTCATACCATCTAACTCCAACAACTGCAGGAGATACAAAACTGTGGCCTTTATGGCTCTTATAAAATCGAGCATACACTCATTGCTCTCTCAAGGTAAACAAGAAATAAGATGTATTATGGGTACAGCATAAATTTTATTTCCAACCTAATTTGAGATATAAAAGCTAAAACCAATAGTAGCGGCAATATGAGTAATAACATGGAGCAAAAAAGACAAGTCCAAAACTATGACCTAAATTACATAACTTGTATACAAAAATAGCAGCTTACATAAGCCAAAAATAACTTACACATGTTGCCCTACAATATTTAAATCACTAACGAACGGTAAAGATGAATTAAACATACAAAGGGCTTCTATGATCTATAGCAGTGATTTTCAAACTTTTTTTTGTCACAGTACACTTTTAATAATTAAAAATTTGGCAGTACACTGTTACTTTGGTAGGTACTGCAGGACAACTGGTGACGTCATAACAATGATTTTTAAATGCAGTAGGCTATTTAGGTAACATTTTCTAAATGCCTTGGTAACTAGTGGCAGTTACCAGTAACACTGGTTAACAATTTCTAAACGTGTCCTAGGAAGGTAGAACTGATTGAACTACTTGTCTGACATTGCTTATGTATGGGTATTCACAGTGGCGGCATGCTTCAACAATCTTGCAGCACAGTGGTTGAGAATCACTGGTCTATAGAATACAATTAGTGGACATAAAATTTAACATTCATTTAGCTTATATAGGCTTCAAGGATAGATCATTAACTACCAGAATTAAAGAACACATGCATAACATCCAAAAAGGGAGTAAGTAACAGCATGGGCCCAATCTGTGAATGAGCTCAGAGTGTCCCTCAAGAGGGAGAGACGAAAATAATACAAAGAGTTTATGATGCACAAAAACTGAACAGCTGAGACCGTTGAAATTTATAAGCAAGTGCAAAAAGGGAGTGTATTAATAACAAAGACAGAGTAAATTTGCCACAAATGTGGTAAACATTGGTAGCCTTAGATTGAATGTTTTAATCTTTAGTTTTTGTAAATGTTTTAATTTGTTAATGTTTCATGTTTCAAAATATATTTTAAAAAATTTTTTAAATTCTTAATTTAATTTATATTATGTCATACAAGTGTAGAATGCTTTTACTTCAAATGTTTAACTTTATTAGAATTTAAGTAAAAAGGTTCATTCATAAAAAAATTATTTTATCTAACATACAAGCTCATTTAAAAGTGTAAAAAAATTTTTTGTAACTTGACAAGGGCCACTAAAATGGCCAAAAACATTTGCTTTCTTTCATTTTTTCTAATGTTTAATAAACATCAGTGCTGAAAGTACTACATAAAAGAATCTAGTGGGTTTGTTGAACTGTTTCAGCTTTTGAGAGTTTAATAAAAAGTAAAATACATCTGGATATGAGTCCAATTTTGCTTGCCATGTCCAATCACCAAGAACAACTACAGGTAACCCCATATAACATGGTAGTTACGTTCCAAAAAATTCCCATGTTATGTGAAACAAAGAACTAGTACGAAAAGGAGGGTTAGGTTCCAAAAATTAAAAAACATGCTATTATATTTTCATAATTAAGATAAATATCTTTATTAAAATTTTTTAAAGAAGTTATACATATTAATGTAAATTAAACAATATTTTCTTCATCAGCACTAAGCACTGTTAACCGAGGGCATTTTATTTTTTGCAAGATATTCTTATTCTCTGAGCATTTTTCTGCATTATGTTCATATCTATGCTCTACCTTTTGCAAAAAATATGTTATTTTACATTGCTTGCTTTTAGATAAAAGATCTGTATAAATTTCTTTATATGGTGCTAAGCACTTATGAAGTTCTCTTTTGAACTTTGTGCTCCTTTCATTTGAAGGATCTTCATTTAAGAAATATGACTCTAACTGTTCGGCTAATCCTAGGCCTTTCTTTATGTTTTGTAGAGTAAACTTTTTAACTTCTTTGTCTTCAGCTGTGCTATCATCCTCTGAGTTATCATGGATTCCAGATATCATTTCTACCAAACCTGCTTCATAAATTTCTTCTTCCACCAGTAATTCTTGGATATCTTGTGCAATCATATCGTCAAAACCTTCTCCTCCTAGAGACTTAGCAATTTCTACTACCTCATCCATTCTGTTTTCTGCTGTCTCGATCAAATTTTCATTTTCAATTGACTCCGGCCATATTTTTCTCCAACATCCATTTAATGTCGTTGGTTTTATTTCTCTGTTGGATTAGTTTATTAGGTTAATGCAGTCCAAAATTGTGAAGAGTTTCCACGCCTCCTTAACGTCCATAGATTCATCATCGATTTTATTCAAAATCCATTGTAATGATCTTATATAATTGGTTTTAAATGTAGCTATAATTCCCTGATCTAATGGTTGAAGTAAAGCAGTTGTTTTTGGAGGTAAAAAAGTTATTTTGATATTTGGGTGATTTAAATCTTGTGGATGGCTGGGCGCATTATCCAATATAAGTAGAACTTTAAAATCTAAATTTTTCTGTTTTAAGTAGTTTTCTGTTTTAAGTAGTTTACTTGGTACAAAACAGTTTAAAAACCATTTTATAAATAATTCAGTAGTCACCCAAGCTTTTTTATTTGCTGCCCAGTATACAGGAAAATTACTCTTATTTAGGTTTTTCATTGCACGAGGATTGAGAGATTTATAAACCAGCATAGGTTTTACCATGTAATCGCCTGAAGCATTACTGCACATAAGTAATGTTACACGGTCTTTTGATACCTTGAAACCAGGTGCAACTTTTTCATCTTTAGAAATATATGTCCTCTTGGGCATTTTTTCCCACCAATGAGCAGTCTCATCGGCATTAAAAACCTGATGTGTTCAATATCAATCCTCTTCAATAATTCTTTTTAATTCCATTGGATAAATTTTGGCGGCTTCTTTATTGGCTGATGCACTTTCACCCTCTATTTTTAGGTTTTGTAGTGATAAATGTTTTCTCATACGATCAAACCTCCATTTACTGGCTACAAAATCTGGATTAGTAGCAGTTTCTCCATTTTCCTTTAAGTAGTTGTAAATTTTCAAGGCTTTGTGTTTAATAATATTGGTGCTCAGTGGAATCCGCTTTTTTGAACAGTCTTCAATCCAGATGCTAAGGGCTTTTTCCATCTGTTCAATTATTGCTGCCCTGGGACGAGATGTCATATTTGAGGAGATAGAACAGCCTGCAGCAATGGAATCTCTAATTTTCTGTTCATTTTTCCTTATAGTCCGTATTGTTGCTTCATTTAAATCCAATGATTTGGCGACATAAGATATCTTTTCACCCTTTTTGAGCCGATCTAAAATTGTAATTTTGTTTGTATGGAGATGAAATGTCTTTTAAGAGACATTTTTTCATTTTTGTCAGACATGGCTTAGTGCTACAGATTCTTAAAAATATAAACATAATTATTATTTCTTTAAAAAAGGTTGAGTACAATACTATAGTACTGTACTTACCTGAAAATTTTTATTCTATGTAGCCAGAAAAGAGACACAATTAAAGTTTTAAAGTATACTGTACTTGTAAAGGTGTGGATTGTCCCAAGGATCAGAGGTGGGATTCAATGCCTAAAAACCACTGACAGAATAAAGCAAGTACTTAACTATGTAAATTTTCTTTTCCCGTCTTCTGTCAATATACGTGTTATCTCTCAAAACTTGTCTCATGTTGCCAGATCTCGATGCTTCTGCTTTTGATGTTGCCAAATGTTTTTCTCTTATTCCATACTAATATTTCGTGAAAATTATGCAGGAAAATCTGATAGTACGTACGCGCTCGAATGAAAAATGTCAAATGAGGTATCTTTCGCACTAAAAGCTTTATCACGTTGTACGGGAATTTCCCTAATTTAAAATTAGATAAAGTTCGCTTTTAATAGTTTTAATTACATTTCATGTACAATGGTTTTATCCAATTTTCGAACTGTGTCAGAGTAAATCCATGCTATAGAAGTGCCGTGTTATACGGGGGATGGTCCCAATTCTCGAACCGTGTTAGAGTGAATCCATGCTATAGAAGTGCCGTGTTATACGGGGGTTACCTGTATTTCCATTGCAGAGACAACCTTTCTTTAGAGGCTATGCCTCTGCACAAATATGTAAAACAGTTTAAAATGTTCACGAGTGACAATCCCAACACAATTAAAAATATAATATTTCTTTGTAGAAAAGGGCTGGCAGAATTACAATTTAATTTTTGAGAGTTATTAAAAGATTGAAATTGTATGAAGTAAGTCTTTATTTTCATTAGGAATAATGATATTCACAGAAGAATCCAAAAACTTCAACAAAATTCAAATTTTAAAGTTTCTAATTATAATAAAGTGGTGTGCATGATGCTTAAAAATGTCTGGATTACTTCATCATTTGCAGTCTTGGTCTTATCAGAACTTCTGTCAAGTCTAAAGCAAGAAATCTATAAAGTTGATCCCTTTGACCTCATTAGCAACTTCTTGTTAGTAACAGTATGAATATCATTTTTAAGGACAGATTCCTGCAAATTAGCTACAAAAACACTTAAATAATTCACGTTTTATGATAGATTCTGGTTTTTTATTCAAACATAAATTGTCAGTTATAACATATCTTGCTCTTCAAAATGTTTCAAAGAAAATACTAATTTTAGTTAATTTATATTATTCAAGGTAAGTTGTTTAAAATTTTAAGAATGCTGGCCTAGGAATTAATGTTCTAAAAATAATCATAGGAACACTTAAGTTAGTTTGCTGTTCTGAGTACTTCTAATACAATAATTATTTCAAAATTGTATTTATATTTTTGCAGTTTGTATTCTAGACAGTCACAGCTTTCAAACTTTATTCTTCTATAATTTTTATTTTCTTTCTATACTTTATAGTTTAGATATCATGGATGTAATAATTTTTTCATTTTTTATAATTTAGTAAACAGGAAGTAGAAAAAAATTACAAATTTTTCTTATTTCCTTTAGTTTGTCTTTAGTTTAATAATAATAATATATTTTGGCACTATTATAGTTAGATTTAACATTAACAATTTTTGTTTTATAAAATTACATTGTAGTTAATATCAAAATGGACTTTTGCCACTGAAGCCATTGATTAATCAGATGAGATTGTGCATGACTTTAAAAAAATATGTTTTAATGGAATGCACTTGTGGTACAGTTTTTATTTGGAATTCTCCTGCATTAGATTGTTTGAGCCTGCAATTCTTTTTTTCTTTCTTAATGTCAATTTACTATAATTTTTTTTTAGCTAGAATGAACTAAATTCATTTATTTTTCTGTTTAATGTCTGCGTCTAAAATTCAGAAAACTAGAAGACAGGAGATTAGGCCTCAAATACGTCTCATCCAGATTGCTCATCATAGCAGCAGAAGCTAAAGCCATTCCAGAAATGTAACAATGTAGATATGTCACCCAATCCTCAGTCATCAACTATTTGACCTATAGCCTGTGTCCTGCTGAGATCCTAATCTGTCATGCTGAGAAGAATGAAGACAACCATTACTAGATTAATCACTTGCTATAACAAATCGATGGGCAAGCTAAAGCTCAATAGTATTTACTTCTTGGGAAGTACTGCCAAATGCTGTTATATGAACAATGAGAGCCAAATTGTCAACTAACCATCGTTCCAAAATGCTTTCTGAAAAACCTGTGACATCCCTGACTGACTCTTGACTCTTGGCCATGTCCAAACTGCATTCAGAAAGCTGAGCTAAACAGTTGGGGAAGACAGTGAATCTTAAATCCAGGATGTCTTGTCTTGTGCCAAAAAATCAACACACATGCTGAACTTCAAGAAACTGAAACACCTGGTGAAAGGCATTGCCAAAGACTTTCTCAATGTCTTACTGGCCAATGAATTCACAACTTCCACTGCCTTCATCTTGACTTACTGTCAAAACAAAAATTCCAATATCATCTAGTGAGCTGAAATAACACATTCCATTAATTACTCAATGTAACAGGTAATAAGTTTAGATGCCAACAACCTTGATTTTGTCCAGCAACAGGTATAATTCTTCAAAAAAACAAACATTATCAATCTTCCCCTGCTTCATGCAAAACATACATTCTAAAATGTATGTTTTGCATGATAGAACAGCATCATAAATCAAATTCAAAATAATCAGTGGGGTACATGTATTGTACATATAACTGACAAAATTAAATTATAACGCAGTAACATATTGTGCTTGCCATGCATGAAAAATATATTTTTCCTCTTTAAAATTAATATGATGTCCTTGTTTGTCAGCTTTGAAAATTTCAAGAGCTTCTAATTGCCTCATTTACTTGTGAATACTGCATCTTATCATAATGGCTTGTTTTAACTTAGCTTCAACATCTTTTTCCAATGCATAAGTAGAGTGTGGGAGTTATTTTCTTATTAATTATATCATTCATGATCAGCTACACATTGTTTTAAGGATTTTTTTGTAGATCATATGTAAACAAGATCTCTCTGGAATTGATCATTGCATACATACACCTAGTGCTCTTGCTTTGTTTAAAGGATCTTTTCCATTCTGTAAAAGTTTGTATATGCTAAGATTGCACCCATGTGTGATGTGCATGTTTTTGGCTTTAGCTGTTTTTTCATAGTTAATTACTGTACTGTTGTGAAAAACTGACCTATTGTTTGAACTAGCATTGTGGCTCAACTCAGAGCCATTGTCATTATGTAGGCTCTGAAAGTTTTGGGCTAACTTATGTACTAATTTTTTGGAAAACCATACTCTTGCACTATCCTAGTGATTCACCTGAGTTCATCTATCATATCAGCCATGTTGGTACAATGAGTGTAAGTCATCCTTGTAATTACTCTGAAAGAAGCTATTTTGTAACAGTAAGGATCATTGCCTCTTGTAAATACTATAAGGAGTAAAATCTTTATTCTTAGCTTCCTTGTCTAATTGATAATAAGGCATGTTTAATAATTTTGCTTCCATGAATTAATGTTTTGTGAACTGTAGCTAGCATACAAAACCAAGAATTTTGGGCTAAAGTTCAATATTTGATCCAGAATGATTTTTGTTTTCCTCTTAATATGATTTTCACACTCCTCCAAAATATAAATTTTATTGGTCTGCAGAATCTTGTAGCAGATGGAACAGGATTTTCCCAAATTATTTTATTTTGTATTTATTGTTAGTATTGATTGAGTTTTTCTTGTCTTTTAATTAATTAATTAATACAAATTTTTTAAATGTTAGTTAAAATTCTAGAGATATACTTTCACTTGTCGTATAAAAATTGGCAGATGATTGCAATGTCAATATTATTTTTATTTGACAATGTATACTTATTTTATCAAAATAAAATGCTACTAAGTTACAATGTTGTACTTTTTAGAGTCATCTGATGCAATTACCTATTTGGATTTGTTTGATAAGTTATATGGTACAAATACAAGCCTAACAAGAGCAGATGCTATTTCTTAATTAGTTATTTGTACTTAAAAGTGTATCAAATGCAAACCACAAGGGACTAAATCACAAGCTAATAAAATTTACAAAATATTTATAGACATTGGAAAAAATGTAGACACAATGTTAATCTATTTAGGAAGTCTAATAAATAATGGTTAAGCTTATGTTTTCAAGTTTCTTTTAAAGCTGGTTGTTCCACATTCTGAAAATATTTTCTTGTTAATGTGGAATAATGTGAAACACATTGTGAGCAACTGAAAATGAAAAAAGCATTTGGCTGTCTCAGTTCTTTATACTGTATGTGACTTGACTTTACCAAGGAGAGCAAAAAAAATAAGAAAGCATATGATTTACAATTAAGTGGTAAA